TAAAATGGGTCGCGTAATGCAGAATTGCGTCTTTCTCGTTGGCAGAAGTCACATACGCCGTCGGGGGCGACATTGGGTACCAGATCCAGGAGTCTGCGAGGTCAGCGCGCTTTCGTGTTCGCACCAAGCAGGAGAACGTTTCTGGAGTGCTTCTGCCGACCTTCGAAAGTTACGTCACTGAAGGGAACAACGACTTTGGACTCACTGGCCTCGGCAAGGGCGGCCAACAAGTTCAGCGTTGCCGCGAAACCTACGCTCGTGCTGTGGAGGCCCTTGTCGAGCTAGCCAGCCTGCAAACTGCTTTCGTGATCCTCGATGAGGTGATCAAGGTTGTTAATCGTCGAGGTATGTGTTCTCCCACCCGTGCGATGTTTTACCCAACTAACTGATGAATAGTGAATGCAATGTAAGACTCCCTGTTTGCACGTTCCCCTGACGTCGAGTTGCTGACCATTGGTAGTGAACATGTTATCATCCCACGCACCGAAAACACGATCAAATGTTGGTGTTCCGATGATCCCCTCCTGTGGTTTTTGTTGACCGAATCGCAGACATCAATTCCGAGCTCGATGAACTGGACAGAGAAGAGTTCTACCGCCTGAAAAAGGTTGCAGGAAAGAAACAAAGAGACACCGCTGCGGCTGATGCGGAAATGAAGGCGAAGAGAGAAGCTGCTATAAGCAGGACCGGACAGAATGACAAGGTGGACGACGGCCCTACTGACTTGCTAGCCGCCGAGGAGGACAACGACGTCATTTTCTAGGATACGGAGACGTGCCATGAGGAGCATGCTGGTGCGGGACTATTTCGATGAGGTATAAGGACCACCCAGGCCTGCAGGACATGGACGCGGACAGAAATGAGTAATAGCAGGTCCGACTGGCCCAACACTTGTCTCGATACCTAAGATGAAAGCACTGTAAGAACCATTGCCTTGCAATCGTGAGTAGTGATGCAAATTTCAGGGTTGATTCTACTGTCGCTGGTAGGTTACCTTGATGGTGCTGGATTCCCCAAGCACCATGCCGGCTGTGTTTTCCTTGGCTGTGATAGCCCCTTGCTCGCCATCATATTCAACAAACGCAATGCCCCGTCTCCCAGGGACCAGTCTCACTTCGCGGAAGCCGTCAAAACGACCAAATATGTCTGTCAATGCTTCAATTATCGAAGTCCTCCGG